TAGCGTCCGGTCTTCTTGCGACGCTTGAGGGATGGTCCCTCCGATCAAAGGTGATCGGGGACTCCGACCACCGAGGAAGGAGGGGCCGTCTGGTGCCCTCGTGGACCCACCAAAGATCATGCCTCCCTATAGCGCGTACCTTATCTTTGGTGTTTAGTCCAGATGGCGTCGGACCCGTGGTTGGGGCATGGATCATGATGCACTCCTCGGGTTCGGGAAACCGTCTCCGTCCTTGCCGTCGCGCCTCCCTCTTGGCTGCTGGCTCCTTGCCGTCTCCCTCCTTTGACCCGCCGACTTGCCTTTGTGCTTGAGAGAAAGCGTTTGAGGAGCTCGCACTCCTTGTAGAGGTGTTTGACGGGGTAGGCGTGGTTGGGGCATAGACCATCCATGAGTTTGTTGAAGTGGTCAAGCAGTCCCTGTTGGGGCTGCCTGGGTGTGCGATCAGCCGCGGTGACCAACGCGGTGTTGTCCGACCGACGCCGATCCTTCTTGTTCTCCTTGCCCGTCTGAGTGGAGGGGCCTTCATCTGGATCCGCACGCTTGGGCTTGCCTTTGTCCCGGCCTCCGCTGAAGACCGCTCCGACTGCCTCCTCGCCAGAGGCATGGTTGGTGGCAACATCGAGCAAATCACTGGTGGTATGGGGTTTTAGGCAGCCAAGTTTGTGGATCAGGGACTCGCAGTTTATCCCAGAGAGGAATGCGCTGATGAAGTCTGCGTCGACGACATCAGGGAGGGAGTTACATCATTGAGAAAACCTACGGATGTAATCCCGTAGGGACTCGCTGGGCTCCTGCTGACAGCTCTTGAGGTCCCAGAAGTTTCCCGGGTGGACGTACGTCCCCTAGAAATTCCTGACGAAGACCCTCTTGAGGTCCGCCCAGTCACGGATGCTATTGTGTGGAAGGAATTCAAGCCATGCCCAAACATGTTCCCCCACGCAAATGGGAAGATATTGGATGATGAAATAGTCATCATCCACTCCTCCAGCTCGACAGGCGAGCCGGAAGTCTTCGAGCCAAATGCCTGGGTTTGTCTCCCCAGTGTATTTGGTGATGTTGGAGGGAGGCCGAACACGCTGTGGGAACGGTGCTCTCCGGATGCACCGCATTTGAAGGCCGTGGCCCCGTGGCCCTCGTGTGGGGCTCGGTCGTCGTCGAGGTGGATCCGAGCGGCTGCGTTTCACCGCTTCCCTCGATGGTTTGGCGGGATCCGTGTCGCCTGCTGCCGTATGGCGGACATCGTTATCGTGTTAGGCCCGATGCGATCCATTGATGATGCTCTGGCGACTGATGCGCGGATCGGACGCTCGCACTATCGGCGGTCGGTGTGGGCAAGCGGGTTTGGCCGGTCGGACCATAAGCCTGCCGCCGCCGCTACTGGGGTTACAAACGAGAAGGAGAAAGGTGAGCAAGAGCGTCCGAAACTTCGATGAGCTAGGTGGCGGCGGCGAATGGAAGCGATCGGTTGGCCGTCCTTTCGTGCTTGAGGGGTTGTGAGCTATCATCTAGTGAAGCTTTCCCCCTTTCTGGGCTCCCGGTGGGGAGAGAGGGTGCGGTCGGAGTTGCGATCGCGAGCTTTCCCTCCGCCTATTGGCGGCGGCCCTCTACTAGAACCCGAGAGGTTCCTCCGGACTACCCGACTCTCCCGCTCGGCTCCTCGGCCTCGACACCGCCATCACAGGCATTGCCGCAAGCATTCTTTGCGGCGATATTCGGCCTCACACGCCTGCGGCGGGTGTGGGACATCGTTCCCCTCGTTCACGATGTCGTCGCGACCGCTGACCTAACGAGCGCGACCGGAGCGCCACCCACCGCCATGCGCGTGGGCGCGACGTGCCGCCATTGACCGTCTTGCGATGTGCAGCGCAACGCTCTGCTACCTCGCAAGTTAGTCGTAATTCCTCGGCGTCTGCGCTACTAGCGCGAGACGCGAGGGCCTCCACTACCGCTGGTCCGGAGGGGCGTGAGTTTGCGCAGACTCCGCAACCACCGGCGGCTGTCCTGGACCGTCTACCATAGCGCATTTTCGGGACGGACGGTGGTGGGGCGCCACATCACCGATGCTGGAACCATAGCTCTCGCCCTCGTTATCCGGGAGTTCGGGGGAAACGACAGAGCGAATCCTACCATTCCTACGAATTGGGACGTGAGTGGGGATGGTGCAAGCGCCCTTCTTCCGGGCAATCCCTAAGCGTAAGCATCCGCGGAGGACGCGAGGCCGTAGGGGAACCGACCGTATGGTGTTTGTGGTGTAGGCGGTGCAGTCCCTCTGGGTGATCGGTGGGAGGTAGTAAATAAAGGGCGAACAAAAATGTACGCGCGTATTTACTTCTGATGCTAATGGGGGTTTGAGCGAGAGTTTGCTCGTAATGAATGCGCAGATGCCGCGCCTAGTCAAAATCGCGTGTCCCGAGTCGATGGAGGACGTCTCTCACTAGTTAATCATGAGCGGGTGCTGGGTTTCGCTTGAGTCTCCTCATGGTGGTGAAGTCGCCGTGAGCCGAGTCGGCGATGAAGTCCTTGAGCTTTCCAAGAAGAGTAAGGCCTAGGATGGCTCAAAATTTTTTGTTGGAAGCAGGTGGAACCCGCATCCCAATCAAGCAGTGAGGGCACGGAGATTCAATTGGCGGAAGCGGTTTAAGTCAGTAAAACGCCCTCAATGAAAAGAAGAAACAAGATTAAGCATTTTCATGAGGGTGTGGCGAGAAGTTGAAAAATGGGCCATCCGATGACCAAAAAGTGTTGAACGCATTACAACGTCTTCCCCATGGATTAGGCGCGCCAATCGATTAGCTTACTTTGAAAGTGACCAACTAGTGAATATTTATAGTTTTGTTGTTATGCGTTGTGATCGGAGGTGGCCTAGCACTCAATGGCACATGATTTATCTTTATTAGTTCAGAGACAGCGTGCCTCTACGTCCGATTTGGGTTGGTCGTTGACTTTATTCCTAAGCCTAGGTGCTCAAGTCCGTGGTGGGGTTACAAATGAGAAGGAGAAAGGTGGGGTGTCTGAGAGGCCTCTTTTGTTCCGGCCCGGAAGGGCCGAGTAGAGCGATCGAACTTCGCTATGAGCTAGGTGTTTAAGCGTGTGCTTGAGGGGTTGTGAGCTATCGATCTAGTGAAGCTCAACTTCAAGAAGTCGACCCCTTTCGTTGGAGGGAGCGCATCCCCTTTTATAGATGAAAGGGATGGCTTTACAGGTGAGAGGGAGAGAGTACGGATGTTACTAATCCTTGTTGCCCACGCCAATGAGGACAAAAGCTGATGATGATGGTAGGCGCCCATAATACTATTGATGTCAAAAAATTTATGTAGAATGTAATGTCAGTGCACATGGGAGGTTGCGTTGTCTTCCTCGGGAAGGGTAGATGTCGGTACCTACAAAATCTTCATGGTATGTGAGGAGCCCTACCACATGTACAAAGTGTATGGTGAATCATGGCGCCTACAGTTACTATCAATGCCCGAGAGGCATGTGGGAGTTTTTTCATTGTGACGGGAGTCCAATGGCGCCCACAATGGTTACCTGCACAAGAGCACAAAAATGTCGGCCTACAATAAATCACTGTTTGTGTTAGGGAGGTTGTGAGAAGGAGCTTCCCCATGCGTCATGGTATGGTCACCTGTATCGTGGTTTGACTTGTCTGTGGCATGTCGGCTTTCTCCGTTCGCCCCTAGTCCCTTCCGGCGGGCGCCCCTATCCCGGATGGCCCACGGATCGGCCTGGACAGCGCCCAATGGAGAAGAGCGGTATGGTCCTGGTATCGTGGTTTGACTTGCTTCCCGTCGTGGTCCCTTCCGGTCGGAGACGCGGGGTCGGAGTAGGAAGCGCTGTTTGGGCCAGCGAACCTTGATCGAGAGACCGCCTGGAGAAGGCCGGTGTCCGGCGAGTGCTCCGGTCGGAGAGGTGGGCCGAAGAAGAAGACGAGCGGGCGCTTGTTCTTTTGGGTAGACCTTCCGGTCGACGACCGGACTGTCTTCCGGCCCGTTGTGTTTTAGACTCTTGGGTCGGCCCATGAACTATATGTTGTTTTCTTGGGCCGAGCCCTGGTGTGGAAGCCGGTCCCCGAGGGACCCCGGGTTTATGAACCCGACACATATAGAACTAGAGAGACAGAGATGGAAGGGAGAGGGTGCTGAACCTGACACCGCAGAGGGGGAAGGTTCAGCGGACGCCATCAGGTTCGTTGGTGATGTCTGCGCACGGGCAGCGACGGTCGGTGAAGACGTCGACGTCGATGGAGCGGGTGGCGCGGCTGGTGGCTTCCCGTCACTGGCTGCGCCCCTCTCTGATCGGATTAGGGTTTAGATGTCGGTGGGGAGCTCGGCTCAGGTCAATCTCATGATAAGAGCCGCCGGCCCCCACCTCTTTTTATAGTGCAGGGTGACAGGGGCCCTCCAGCCATGGTGGGCTGGGCGCCCCCCAATCAGGCCACGAATCAAAGGTCCAACTGGGCCGTTGGGTCCAGTTAAGATTAGAGATCAACCTAAGAGACGAACCTGCTTGACTGTAATAGCACTTTTGGTCTTTCAGACGTCCAGCTTTCTTGAATTCCAATGGTATGATCACACTTTCGGTCTTTCAGACGTCTAGACGCCTACCTTTCTTGATTGTTAAATTCCGATGGTGTGATCGCGATGCGTAGATAAATCTAGTCTTGGGACACTTTCATAACTTATCAATCGAACTTCCATCTAGTGCTGGTTAATAAATTCAGACAATTCGTGACTATGCATGCTGCATAGACAACAACGAATGAACTTTCCAAAGGATTGGCAGAACATTTTGTCCTAAAATTTGGGTGGAATGGAGAGGATCTGAACTTCCCCAAGACCACGGCACAAAACAGATACTTTTACTGGCTTGTGGTGGAGCAAAAAGATCAACAAATGTTCCTCATGTAAAAAAGAATCACAATAGGCAAAGCAGTGACACTGTAAACTTTCTGTTCCTCTCACCATTCTTGTGGCTTATAAGTTATAACAACACAACCTCAATCAAGTTCCTTCTCTGGAGCGCCTCATGCTCTCGTCGATCAGCTTGAATGTCTTCTTTACAAGTTTCTGATCCAGGGCTGTTGTTCTGTAGATCTTGAACACTCGGTCGACACGGTCAGGTTTGCTGCTTTGGAAGTAGAGCTCCTCAAACTTCTTTTTTACAAACCTATCAAAATGATCCCCTGGTCAATATAAGACACAAAACCAACACATAAAGATAAACAACGTGGAAAAACTTATTTTGGCATCCATGTGCACATATACATCTTTATATGATACTGCCAAGCCATAGGGAGACAGAAGCATACTCACTCATAGGCATGTTCCACCTCCTGTTTGCCAGGTGCGATGGGCTGGTAATCTTTAAACCACTCGCACACACTTAAAGGAACCTACATTAGGAGAACAAGTGTTATTCACATGTGTGAATTAGTGTATTATACTCAGCTCTTGGTAGGTAAAGAAGGGCAACAGTTACCTTTTGTATTTTTCTCTCAAATATGTCAAATTTGTTGAGAAATAGCATGAATGAGGTTTTCTGGAAGTCAAAATTGCATCAGCTAGGTCTCAGAATGACTAAAACATAGTATGAGAACAGACATTGTGATAATTATGATACAAACCTCGAAACATCTTTGCTTTAGCACCCAATCAAAGAGCTCTTTAGTCTCCATCATTCTGTTCTTCGTCTCATCCTCACATAACATCTGATCGTACCTAAAAAGTGCCCCACCAAACAAGTAAGGCTACGAAACTTTTTTGTGCAAAAAAATCATATTTATTTCAATTAGAAATACAAGTAATATAAAAGGCACTCAAAATAGAACTGGATAGTATCAGTAACAGAACAAATGTTCTGATCATGGAAAACCAATCAGTGTTACAGTGACTTAGAGGCAACTACAACACAATTTTGCAGTGCCCAAACCAAATATGAAAAAAAAAAGCAACTTCTGAGTAGAATTTGCCATTATAGGTTAAGTTCAAGCTAATCAAGTGTAAACTAGGAAACTGGGCTTACTCGCTAATGGCAGCACAGAATATTACAGCATTAACACCTTCAAAAAGATGGATCCATTTCCTTCTCTCGTTTCTCTGGCCTCCTACATCGTATAGCCTATAGACCTCTCCGCCTCTTTTGCTCTCTCCTAGAGGGCTGCAGAAAAAATACATTGATTTGATTGTTAAGAGTTATATCTAACTAGTGATAAGCAAGTAGCACAATAGCAGATTACCTAAACTGAGTTTCTACCACACCATTTGTCCTTACTCTTGCATGAAGCACGTCCTCCTGCAAAATCAGTCCTTGTCAAGTAGTCCACATAAATTATTAGAGAGTAAAAATCTAGAGCAAGCCTTTTAAGACCTATCCTCAAATAACCAGGTAGTAAAAGAAATAGATATGATGAAACATCCACATGCAAGGAAATGTTTCTGTTATGACCGGCACCCATTATACAAGGCGTAGGCCCATGTTATGGCAAGTGGAGCCAGCCCAGGGGCCACGAGGTACTGTAGCGCGTGGTACTGTAGCGCGTGAAGATTAGATTGGTTTGTTAGGAAAGAGATATGTTAGATTGATTTGGTTAGGATATTTTCTTAAGGGTCAAGTCAGTTATTTCTATAAAAAGAGAACCCTGTATCAGTTATAGTCAAGCAGAAACAAGAATTGTTTCCGGCTTCCTGAAGGGAGCCGGGATTTCCTAACCCTAGCTGCCTCCTGCTGTCTCGTGTGAACAGCACCACGAGAGTTCTAGGGCTGCAGCAGCAGCCGCCGCGCTCTCGTCACCACGGCACCTTGCCGGCGTCGAGAGTACAGACCACGTCCTCCTCTCTTCCACCCCTATAACCTACGCAGCAACTCTAGTAGGGCAAGTCCTATCAGCCTGGTATCAGAGATGTCAGGTCCTCCATCCACATCCACGCAGCCGCCGTCCACCTCCGCCTCCCTGTCCCTGCCATCAGCGCCAGCGCCGTCGGCCGCGTCGGGGTTGTCGTCCGCATCCTCGGGCATGGCGGCCGTCCACCTCCGCCCCTGACGTTGGAATCTTTGGCCGCCGACGTGGCTGCAATTGCCCGTGGCATGGCGGCCATGCAGGCGACCCTAGCCACCCTCATCCCACCACCTCCCCCTCCACAACAGCCGGCACCACCACCACCTCCACAGCCGTCGCAGCCGCAGAGCGATCTTCCCCTACGGCATGCCCCTCCACTTGCTGCGGTGGCCGGCCTCACCGTCTCCCATCCCGTCATGGGCGATGGCCACTCGACGACTCCGCCCATCTACACGATGGCCACGACCCCTACCCCGTCGGCAGCCGCGACCGCCACCCACGACCAGCGGCATCTTCTATGGAGGGACGGACGGTACCCTCGTCTACGGTGGAGGCGGGTACTCCGGCGGCGCCCTATCCGCAAAGGACTCGTCTGCCGCTGCTCCCAACGGCACCCACGCCCCTCCCAAATTTTACAAGTTGGAGTTCCCGACGTTCGACGGCGCCGTTGATCCGCTCAATTGGCTCAACCACTGCGAGCAGTTTTTCCACGGCCAACGAACATTGGCTTCGGATCGCACATGGCTAGCTTCGTACCACCTTCATGGCTGCCGCCAAACTTGGTACTATCTTACTGGAACAAGATGAAGGCATGCCGACACGAACGCTTCGCGACCTATGCCGGCTCCGTTTCCGCCCCCAACGCACGGACGCGTGGCTGGTCGAGCTCGCTCGGCTACCCTTCCAGTCATCGGTCCAGGAGTATTCGGACCGCTATAATGTCATGCTCTGCCATGCTCGCGACCTCAATCCTCGCCAGAAGGCGGAACTGTTCGTGGGTGGCCTCCCCGAGCACATCAAGGTCGACGTCGAGATGCGGGATCCACCCGACCTTCAGACCGCCATGTATTTGGCCCGGGCATTCGAGCGTCGTGCGGCGGCCATGCCTCCAGCGCCTCTGCAGCAGGGCGCCCGACCTCCCTCACGCGGCTCGGCCTTCCTTCGCGTGCGTGCCAGCGCGGGTGCTCTCCACCGAGCCCCAGCAGTGTGCCCCAGGCGGACCAAAGCCGGCTAACGGGCGCCCGGTGCGCCAGTTCCGCCGCCTCACGCCGGACGAGCAACTGGAGCGGCGTCGACAAGGGCTTTGCTTCAACTGTGATGAGCCCTACGTCCGCGGCCACGTGTGCCCACGGCTCTTCTACCTCGAGTCGGACGACTACATCGACGACGACCTGGGAATGCCGCGGCTGCGGCGATGGATAACGTCGCCAACCCCGAGGCTCCGGATGCCCAGGAGCCTACGGCCGCTAATGCTTTCGTGGTCTCTCTACACGCACTTGCAGGGATGCGAACGGACAATACGATGCTACTCCCGGTGATGGTTAAAGGGGAGCGGCTGTTGGCGCTACTCGACACCGGCTCCACGCACAACTTCCTCCATGGCGCGACGATGCGCCGCCTACGGCTCGCCCCGACGGGCGGTGAGCAACTCCGTGTCACCGTGGCCGACGGCGACCGGCTCCCTTGCGAGGGCATTGCTCGCCACGTGCCCATCCGCATCGGCTCGGAGTCCTTTTCCATCACGTGCGTCGGATTGGACTTGGGCTGTTTCGACTTCATCCTCGGCGTCGACTACCTACGGACCTTGGGTCCCATCTTGTGGGATTTCGAGGCCATGACGCTGCATCTTCGGCGTGAGGCGCGCGCGCCTTTTAGCGGGCGTCGCGCGACCTCGACGTGGCAGCTCCACAGCAGCACCTCGCTGCACTCTCCGCTGATGGACTTGCTGCTGCAGCAGCAGAGCGCAGTCTTCGACGAGCCCACAGGGCTCCCACCGCACAACACAGTCCCTCGTCGACGAGTTGCCTCCCAGCTCGAGGACGAGCTGTTTACGCAGGCGGGGAGAGATGTTATGACCGGCACCCATTATACAAGGTGTAGGCCCATGTTATGGCAAGTGGAGCCGGCCCAGGGGCCACGCTGTACTGTAGCGCATGAAGATTAGATTGGTTTGGTTTGTTAGGAAAGAGATATGTTAGATTGATTCGGTTAGGATATTTTCTTTGGGGTCAAGTCAGTCATCTCTATAAAAAGATAACCCTGTATTAGTTATAGTCAAGCAGAAACAAGAATTGTTTCCGGCTTCCTGAAGGGAGCCGGATTTCCTAACCCTAGCCACCTCCTGCTGTGTCTCGTGTGAACAGTGCCTCCGCTACTGTAGCACCACGAGAGTTCTAGGGCTGCAGCAGCAGCAGCCGCGCTCGTCGTCGCCACGGCCCCTCGCCGGCGTCAAGAGTACAGACCACGTCCTCCTCTCTTCCACCCCTATAACCTACGCAGCAACTCTGGTAGGGCAAGTCCTATCAGTTTCTATATGGCATGAGGATGACTGGATTCGGCCAATTCAGACTAGCAAAACCCTATAGATATTAGACAAGTAGCATATATGATCAATCAAGAAATATCTTAAGGAAAATATCCACAAATAGTATCATGAGTCATGACAGATCAGAACAAGATTATTCCTATTTATGCACTTTAGAGGCAGCTTCCTAATGTACCACTATTATTCAAATACATACATGTAATTTAACAATTTTCTTTGCTTGAGAGGAGGGAACATCGTTGCTAGAAAAAAGTAACCTTGGTAGTGTGACCATGCTTATGTTATGGAAGTTCTTTTTTTTTATGAAATTATGTTATGGAAGTTGAGAAAGGAATCAAAAGTCTTTTCAGCAAAGAAAAGTTTCTCCAGAGGTTGAGGCCTGAGGGACTCAGATAAGATTAAGCCTGTTATATAGAAGTTTAGTAGCTTTTCCCCTCACTGCACTACAAGTAGGCATGGTGAGTCTACATTGTTATATATAAGGTGTAAATTGTAAATGTGTTCCCTCCCTGAATATTTAAACTAATGGTCTCCTAAGGTCTTCAAAAGAAAAGGTTCTTGTTCTCCTACTAGTTGACAACCTCAAACAGTATGTAAAATTCAGTACCATGACAATCAACATGAAATATTATGCCGACGTCAGAAAACAAATAGGTAAAATCTCTCTTTAAAAAAGTATATTGAGGATAATTTTGTACCTTCGTTGGTACATAATCTACTTCAGATAATCTGTCCAAATTTTCCATGAAGTACTGCGCACAGTCTGGGACTTGCAGAATACTTCCTCGAGAGTAAGTTTCCTACAAAGTACAAACAAATTTCTAAATAATAAAGCTTTCTGTTTAAAAGTTTATACATTTTTAAAATCAAAGTAGAAGAAACTTCACCTGAATGGCTGGATCTTGCCATAGTTTTCTTACATCCTGTACACGTTCTTTGTTCAGCGATGGGTAATCCAACCTGACACCAATTTCTGATAGTTTTTCTCCAATCTCCTGAAGTTATAATAAAGTTACAATACAAATACACAAAAGGTATTTTAGTGGGCTAATAAGGTGTGCTCTGTGCAATGAGAAGCTTCTAAGAGCTAATAAATGCATTGAAATGCCTACAAAGTTGACATTTGTTAACTGTTTAAACTCATAACTACAAACAAAGCAAATGCTCAAAACCTGATCTAGATTAATATCACATAACAAACATTTCAAACAAGAAATATTTTAGCATATCTACAGCTGCATTCTCCGAAGCAATAAAATGTAGGTGCAAGGTTACCAGATACCAAAAGATGTAAATGATTTTCTGGACAATCTAAGGAGAAATGCATAAAAACAATGACCTAGTCATTTCTTTACCTCCCTGTTCCATATAGTTGAATTTAATTTCAACAGATATCATTCATGAGCATGTAATCGTGCAAAGCATAATAAGGCATTTTGGGTTAGCAAAGCTCCAGGCACATTTGTTAAACCATAGCAATTGTGTCAGCCAAACCACATTAGGACAATTACGTTGCAAAATAAGCAAGTTGGCAAAATTGAACTCTAATTTCCAAGGAAAAAGGTGCAAACCTGACTATCTGGAGATAAAACATATTTTGAGGAATCTGGTTCCACTTGGGCTAGCTCTTTAGCTCCCTCATATAATATCTGGGAATGCATATTTAACTCATTACTGAGACAAAATATCAGCAAATACACCCTCATTGGAGCAGCAAACAACTCCATAATCAAAACTTCCTACATAATCATCACTACAACGTAAGAGAAAAAAAAAAGACACACCCTTTCTAGTATAGCATACTTTAATTGTCTGATACACGTTCGCATGGATGACTGATGTGTAGCTCTTAAGCTCTGCCTCATCAAAGCCAGTTTGGAAAAGGAGCTTTATCTGCAATAAGTGGTCAGACGTATATATGACTTGCTGTCTTGCTGATGACATAGGAATTATGATTCTCCAGGGAATGGCATAAGCCTTACTTGTTTAAATATTGTAGACTTCCCTGATTCTCCAGCACCTTTCAAAGAAGCGATTGAAAAAGAGGACTAATGTTAGGAAGACAGGCAAAGTAATTTAGCGATGGACAACACATTATCAAGTCTAGAATGCAGGCGAGAATTGACTAGGGATCAACTTCACGATAGTTCTTTTGGCTGACCCAGCAAACTATCAAGACAAAAGTCTACAAAACAGGTATACTTCACATGACAAAATACCTCGAGTTCAAGTAAGTTGGCATTACCAAGAAGTAAGAGCTTGTAGATGTGTTGCTCGGCCTTTGTTTCTTGCAAAATCCTCCGGTCGATATCTGCAGACTGCACCCACTCTACTAATGTCAGAAAGTATCGAGTGTTGCTTCTTACCAACACAAAAATGAGACCTACTGACAGCATTAGCCTGGTCTAAGCGACAAGTTACCTTTGCATTTTCAGCTGCTTCAGTCTCGTCGAAGGAATGGGATCTGCTACAGGATGAACCCATGCTTTCAATCACACAGGTAAGCACAGACATTATTCTAGAAGCGCGCTCTCATGCCTGACTGAGGGGCGGACACAAGGACATGGGTGTACACATGTACACCCAATAATGTTTGCAAAAACACGAAGTTAGTAGGCATGATACATATATACGCTGATCAGATCCGAATAATAGCTTAGGTTAGGGTTCGGGTGCTCGGTCTCGCACAGAAGGAAGCGAAGAGGAGGGGTGCGCGTACCTGGTGGTGGGTGCTCATCGCCGGCGAAGGGCCTGGCGAAGACCTGGCGAAGGGCCTGACGATGCTACACCTGGGTACCTGGCGTAGGGAGGCGGCGGCGGTCGCTCAGTTGCGCCACTCAGAGGGGGGGAGAGAGTGTGAGTGAGCGAGCGCACGCGGGGTGAACGACTGAACGGGAGAAGAAAGGAAAGCGGTGAACTGGAGTTCCGTGCTGTATGGTCGCCACCTGCTGCCAGTGAACGGGAGAAGGCAGGGCACAAGCACGAGAGTCACGACAGTCCACGAGGGTCAAATTGGTTTGTCTGAGAGGAAACTTGCTTACATGTAAAACATAAACGGTTATTCTAGCGCCCGCCTGAGATGCGTCCGCACGCCGCTCTCTTTCCCAAACGCCGCTCCTCCTCAACGCGAATAGAAAATCAGATCGAAATAGAACGGAATATAATTGAGTCCACAGCGTCCCTGTCCCCCGTTCCCCAAAGTATCCCGTTCCTTCACGCGCGCCCCCTGTCCCAAGAGCACGAAATATTTCAAGTGCAACATCGCAAACATATGCAACATCGGAATATAAATACTACGTTATCGCAAAATTACATAGTGCAACATTGAAAAACATGTACTGCAACATCGAAAATTATGTACTGCAACATCGAAATTATATGCTGCAACATCACAAAAATATGCAGTGCGACATCAAAAAAACATGTACTGTAACATCGAAAAATATGTAATACAACATCAAAAACTATGTGCTGCAACATCGAAAATATATGTATCTGCAACATCTCAAACAGTAGTACTGCAACATCGCAAGAATCAACCATGAAACGTGGACATTGAAACATTCAAAAATCATCTGTTGCAACAACCAAAAAATCACATTGCAACATTCTAAAATCATCTGTTGCAACATCCAAAAACCCATTAGAACACGGAAAAACAGCAAAGGACGTACAAACAGATAGGGGATGGGTTCAAGATGCAGGCTACTCCAACCCTGACCCATCACCTTCGAGCTTACCGGAGGGAGGATGGAGGAAGGAATAGGACCCCGGTCCAAAGCTCACCGGAACCCTAGCCACCGCCGCGTCCCTTAGATCCAGAGGAGGAGGAGGAGGGCTCAGATCCAGAGGAGGAGGAAGGCTCGGATCCAGAGTAGGAAGGACCTACCTTGTCGGAGCCGCCGCCGCAACGGAGTGAGGGGAGGGGACATGGAGGCCATCGGACTTGAAGGAAGATGCACGTGGAGGAAGGGTGGCTGGATCCATGGAGGGGAGGGGAGGAGGCTTGCTCGGGCTGCCATGGAGTGGGGGGGAGAGCGGCCGCCATGGAGTGGGAGAGAGAGGGTCACAACACAGCGATGGAGAAGAAGTGGTGTGCGGTGGAGGAGCTCTTAGCAGCGATGCGAATGAGGAACAACGTCGCCCGCTATTTTATTCATTGATGAGGAACTCTGTATGTGGGCCGCTGGCTAGGCCTAGCTAGTCATGTCCAACGCGGGATGGACGCCCGGTAAGAAGCATTATCGAAACATAAAACAACTAGCATAGCAACTAATAACATGTACTCTCACGATTTTAAATTATAAGATTTTTGGTTTTCTATATATATATACGTACTTAGATACTCCCATAAAAGAATACAATTATTATTTTTTGATAAGTTAGCTTTGGCTAAACCAGAAAAAAAACTAAATTTATATTAAAAAGTACTAATATTCATGATACAAAATAGGTACCATTAGATTTGTTATAGAATATATTTTAATAATAAATTTATTTATATAGACATAAATTTAGTCAAAATTGGACTAGAATGACCGACACGGATCTCATAGTTGCATTTTTTCGTGGATGGAGGTAGTATATACTATGTTTAGATATATAGCTAAAATAATGTATATAAAAAAGTCAAACGGTCTTATAATTTGGAATAAATGGAGTATTGTTCTAGCTTCTTGCTAGATAAAGCTAAGTAAGCTATAAGAAGGGATCCAAACACCGGATATGTATGGTTGGGGGTAATGAAAGTTCCCAATACCATGAATTGTAGTGACGTAGAATGGTTTTATCCTTGTCATAGAATATTCCCTTAACATACGGGACAACTCGATTTTCGAAAGTTGAGGGGGCGAAGAGGGATCAATGCGAGCACACTAGCGTGCGGGGCAAGGATAGAAAAGGGAGGAGGGTCAGCGAGGCCGTTCAAGCTTGACGAGGAGGGGCAGGCGGCATTCAATGGGGCACAGTTGGATCTCTAGCTTGCGGCATGTGGGGGCAAGGTGGCCTCCGGCGTGCAGGAGCTGAGGGCAATGGCTGGTGTGGACTACAGGGTTGTTGTTGGAAAAATGGAGAAAGACATGTTAGAGGAAGAAGAAAGAAAGAAAAAATATAAAATGGCGAATGAGAACCACTTGTCAGGTGCTTCATCTCACTTTCTAGCATCCCTCAACCAAACATAGAATGTGAACAATTCTATCATGTCAACCAAACGCAGAAGTGCAGAATATGGACAGGTCACGGGTCCATCTCTCAAAGCGGAGATGAAACCATGACATCCCACTAGGCACTATATCCCAAACCGAACGCATGTTAAGTTCAGAAAATAGGCACCTGAGTTATATAGTTTTTCTACAAGTTAGAGTGGCTTTAGTCACTGGCTTACCGTTGACCCACCTACCAGTGACTTAAGTTCAGTAACCGGCACCTCATACTATCATACAGTGGGTCTCAATCTCATGTGGAAGACATTTCTTTTACATCTTATTTGTTTTTACCTACGTAATCACGCTCAAATTTACTCCCTCGGCAGGGATGAAAACGGTACGGATATTTTCCGACCGTATTCGAAACCGAATCCGTTTAGAGGGGTTGAGATCTGTCCGTATCCGAGTCCGGATATCCAACATCCGATACCGTATCCGTATCACGCTCAAATCAATATTTATTATGTCGATATCCCGTCATCTAAATGGATTCGAATCCGCGTAATATCGGTGGACTTTCATCCCTACTAAATGGAGAGCGTGGTGGACTAACTTGTCTCGAGAGACGAAAATAAACCAACGAGCAATGGCTCGCTAGCGACGAGCGTGTATGCGCCACCACGTGCGAAGGCGTTAGGTTCATCTACTCTGTGAGACTGAAGATGTCGACTCGTTTGGACCCTGGACTAGAAGCCTGGCAAAACGAGGCCTTACGGAGATAAAAAAAAAAACGAGGCCTTACACTTTGAGCATTTTACTCTTAACTCTCAGAGAGTAACAGGCCTTACGGAGATTAAAAAAAAAACGAGGCCTTATACACTTCACAAGACTGAACAAGAACCTTTTGTTCTCAAAGCGCCTCCATGGAATTTCTGCGACTCCTGGGGTCAGATTCTCGACATGCTCCATGCTGAAATGCTGATGATAGCAATTCGGCCCAAGAGCACAGACTGAACCGACTCGACCGTTTGAACAGCTACTGAGCATGCTGAGTCGAAGAAGGCTTTTGTGATGCAAGTAAGAAATCCAAGACGACCTTGTTGAACCGATCCGGGTCCTCCATCTGAGGCACGTGGCCTGTTTTGTCGACGATTTCCAATTTAACATTCGCTCCTAAACACCTGCGATATGTGCCATGCAAAAAAAAAGGTATTAGCACGGGAGTACGGCAGTCTGCCGTAGTTTGACAGTATCTTTGCAGTATGCAGTTGTGACAGCCATTGGTTCGATCGTTCCATAAGGATAGAACTCGTGCGTGCTCTGTGACGTCCGATCTGGCTCGCCCTGGAGGAAGGCTCCCGCTCCCCGACGCCGCACCGCTCGGAATTCGACGCCGCTGGCCGGCACCGGCCTCCCTTCACTGACGCACCCTAGGCCGCCCGTCCGCCGCCGCCCCCAGGGGCAGCCATCCCCCGCTGCCCCAGGTCGGTCGTATGCTGCTTCTCCCCGGCACCGCCGCCGCCCCCAAGCTTGTCGTCCGCCGCTGCCCCTAGGCCGGCTGTCCGTCGCGCGCCCCCGGCACCGATGCCACTGCTCCCTCCGCCGCCGCCCCCTGGCGCGGACGCGGGCGTGCCCCCGTAGCTACGAATTTGTTTTTTTTGAATTTTTGAATAATTTGCGAACAATTTGATGATATTTGTGAATAATTTAACATATATTTATCTGATATCTTGAATCCATCTCATGTCTGGTTCCATAGAAATAATTTATAATTTTTTCTAAAAAATCTAGCACATATATTTGTATTATCCTCAAATTACACCATTGTGTCCAATAAAATACACTGAAGAAGTCATTATAAATATAATAATAAGTCGAGTGTAAATATATTTAAAAGACAATGTAAATGTATTGGAAAAATTCAATTGATAGGAGAAACCAAAATAACTTCATATCACCTGACAGATCCTTGAGGTTACCTCTTGACGGCAAATGCCTTTTCCAAGGGAAATATCTGATCGTGGTCTCCCCAGATGAGCAAAACGTCCTGCCATTGACGACATCAATTCAATTACAGAGTAGACAGTAGAGACTGAAATTCAACACGGTGTAGACAGTCAGACACAATTGTTTAGAAGCAAATCTTTGTGCAACTAGCTCGATTTTTTTGTTCATGGAAAGGGTGCATAGTGCACCTGCTTTTGTTTGAGTGTTCAGCTACCATTATAAGCCGGCTTATAAGTGGTATAGTATTTTTTTTCTTCTGAACAAATCAACCGTACAAATTAGCAAAGAGCCTTTACGAGCAGAGCGTATATTTGTATCCATGCAAAGAGGCTGCGACAGATACCTGAGGCAAGGGTGTCAGTTGGAACTCGTCAGTGCCGACATTGATTGCCTTCATCAGTTCAATCTTCTCCTCCCTTTTATCCGTGAAAAGTTGCTGCAAAATCGTTGAATCGACACGATCACTACCTACCCTTTCATCTTGAATTGTTCAAACTAAACAAAAGAACTGAAGAATTCACAGAGCGACCTCAAGTAGGAATCCGCTTTGCTGTCTGTTACCTGCACGGCCTGTCCGATCACGAAGTCGGGCAGCAAGCTGATGGCCTGCCTCCGGTAGAAGGACAGCTCCATGAGCCGCCGCGCGCCGCGCGAGTCCAGCGGCATGAGCAGGTCAGCGGTGCGCGCGAACCCGGGGCCGGCGCGCTGGAGGAGCGCCCTGTCGTCGTCGGCCGTCTTGAGCAGGTCGGAGTTGGATATCACCACGGGGCCGACCCTGCCGAGCCCCGCCGCGCGCGCCAGGGCGTAGGCCACGAACCCGCCGTAGCTGGTGCCGACGACGGCCACGCGGGCGCCCGCCGCGAGGCCCGGGAGCGCGTCCAGCAGCGTGGCGAGCGCGGCGGCCTGCGCGGACTCGGACGGCGCCGGGGAGCCGCATGAGGAGGCTCCGAAGCAGAGGAGGTCCGGGGCGACGACGTGGAAGTGGCGGGACAGAGGGCCCACCTGCCGCCGCCACTGCCAGGTGGCCATGGGCCCGAAGCCGTGGATGAGCAGCAGCGGAGGGAGCCGCGGCTCCCCCGGCGGCGCCCAGTAGTGGATGTTTATGGCGCGCTGCCCCGATGCGCCGCCGCCGCCCGTATCGGACGAGGTGGCGGCGGGGAGAGAGATGGTGTGGGGTTGGAGGCCGGCACCGAGGAACGTGCGGCGCGCGATGAAGTCCATTAGCTGGAGGACGCCGAAGCCCATGGCGACGCGCGCGCGAGAGAGGTGGCTCAGAGACGATTGCAGTGGAGGCGAAGCGGATGAAAAGCGGTGGGTGCAGGTGCCGGTGAACGAATAATAGCAATAGTCGTCTCGTAGGTGCAGGTGCTGGTGAAAGAATAGCTTCTGGGGCTGGAGCCAAAGGAGCTTTCATAGACATAGAAATCATAATAGAAAGAGCAGGCCTGCTAGCAGCGGAAGAACAAACAAACTGACAATCTAAATCCAGCTTTTGTTTGGGTCGTTGGACCTTTAGGCTTCGGGTTAGGTCATCAGGATCCAGCTATCATGGACAGGTAACTGTTTCGTATATACTGGCGTATATGAACATTAAACGGGAGTTGCTATATAGGAGAAGTGACATTGAAATCTGTGCCATTGAATGTACTGAATTGTCCAACGATCTTATTACAAACAATCGAATCGGCTACCATTAACCAATCACCGATGCACCTTACTGCGAGCTAGGATTAACCGATGGATCAGGCTTGTGAGAAGCCAGCAGAAAGTCCAGCATGATCTTGTTGAAGCGAGCAGGATCCTCCAGCTGAGGAGCGTGGCCTGTATTCTTTATGACCTCCAGTCTAGTGCTCCCGTTCAGAGCCCTGATGAGTGATGACAGCACAATGTTACAAGCCAGTCAGTGTTACTGAACTTAGCACGGGCTGACGACCAGCCATCTGTTTGAGGGGGGAAAAAATGGGCTTTGCAGAGTGCATGCCAAAGTGTGCGTGTGAAGAAACCCTTCACCTCTGAACTGCAAACGCCTTCTCCATCGGGAACAGCTGGTCGTGGTCTCCCCATACAATCAACACTTTCTACACAACGCACGCACGAGCGTGGCTAAAGTTTAGTCACAGGCTCACAGACACAAGCTCGCCAGAGCGTCATCTGATAGCGCGAGACAACCTGCGTTTTAATGTAACAGTACCTGAGATATTGGTGTCACTTGAAATTTATCAGTGCCGACCGTAATCCCCTTCAGGATATGAACAAGCCGCTCCCTGTTCTCCGTGAAAAGTTTCTGACATATGACATGTAAAAAAAAGTTCAGGGCCTCGTTTAATTGGCGAAATTTTTTAGAAAATGGTACTGTAACACTTTTATTGTTATTTAGCAATTAGTGTCTAATTATAGTCTAATTAGGCTTAAAAGATTCATCTCGTGAATTTCATCTAAACTGTATAATTAGTTTTATTTTTTATTTATATTTAATGCTTTCGTGCATGCGTCCAAAGATTCGATGTGATGGAAAATCTTAAAAAAACTTATAAAATTTTAGGAACCAAACAGGCACCGGGAGTACTTTGCTGCTGCTGAACTGGTTGGACCAGTGCTCACTGACAGAAGAGAACAGACAGACTCCAACCGTATCAGAAAGGGACGATTCACGATTCCGCTCGAGTCAAGCTAAAGTGGTTGGCCATTATTGACGACCGACGAGTTACACTGTCGAAAAGTACGTGCTACTCTGGTATTTATTTGGTATTATAGAAATAAATATTTTTTTATCTATAATTGATTAAACTTAAGTACTAAAATATAACACTATACTAGAATGACATTCTTTAAGGCCACAGATAGTAAAAATAATAATTACTCATCTGGGTCATGTTTGCTTGTCTTATCATCCGTCTTTTCAAAATCAACCTAATAGTATTTTCTCATTAATAAATCACCAAAACAGCAGTGTTTTTCAAATTTTTTCAATAAAACGAACGGGCCTTCTCTCAAGTCTTTCAAAAAATAACCAAATACATAAATATTTATAGGGTATGTCTCTATAGCAGGTGACTGATGGTTTGCTTAATAATCAGTCATGTTCTGTGATGTACTTTGTGATGTTCAGGTAATATACATATAATGTTTACGTAGTATATGATGTTCTATAATGTTGTGATGTTTACATAGTATATATGTGATGTTTTATGTTTTTTTAAGATGTTAGTGATATACATGTGATGTTCTGTGATGTATTTTAATGTTATGTGACGTTTTCAGACGGCTATTAAAATACATATGATGTTCTATAATGTATTTTGTGATGTTCCGACAGTATACACGTGATGTTCTATAAAAATTGACCGACAAGAGAACAAAATATCAGGCAACTACATTTGAGTAAATCTGATATTTATAATACATAATCAGTATTAATTATTAAATACATTTTATAATAAACTCATTCAGAGAGAGATATTGATACTATTTTCTATGTATATGTATGCTTGTTAATTAAATTTTTAAAAAATTGACTCCCGAAGAGATGCGCGAGGTCCACTTACTTTAGAACTGACTAACTGAGGAAGTAAAATGCAAGATTTACATGGTATGCTACTAGCTACTAGTAGCAATGTTGCTGGGTTTCCCGTCAACCTGAATCTACCGAAAGGAAGCTGCTGCGGTTGCAGAGTTTCCAAACGAGTTGTTTGTTGCACCCGATTTGTCCGGAACTTCTAAACGTGGGCACTGGATTAATGGCGGGTTAGGTATCTCGCGGGCCTATCCATGTTACTTTGACCTTTTGTTTTGTAATGCTACTGAAAAGACGAACAATTCTAGACTATAGGATCGAAAACTCAGAGTGACGTTGACACCCGGTACCAAAGAAACGGTCAAGGAGGAAGATTCCGGTGACATGCACCGCACCCGCACCTGGATGAAGTCACGGAGCAGGAAGTCCGGCGTCATCAGCCGCGGTGGCGGGCGGTAGGAGGCCAGCTCCAGGAGCTTCCGCAGCGCGGCGGGCTCGGCGGGGAGGAGGATCTCGTCCACGCCGCCCCACCCTTCGCCGGCGCGCTTCAGGAACGCCCTGTCGTCGGCGGCCGTCTTCAGCAGGTTGGAGCTCGCGATCACCACGGGGCCCACCCTCGCGGCGCCCGCGGCGCGCGCCAGCCAGTACGCCACGAAACCGCCGTAGCTGGTGCCCGCCACGGCCACGCGCCGGCCCTCCATCCCGGGCAGCGCGTCCAGCAGCGCCGCGAGGACCGCGGCCTGCGTCGCCTCCGTCGGCGGCGGCGCCGTCGTCTCGGACGGGTACGAGCTGCCGCCGAAGCCCAGGAGGTCGGGGACGATGACGTGGAAGTGGCGCGAGAGCGGGCCCACCTGGCAGCGCCACTGCCAGGCGGCCCGGGGACCGAAGCCGTGGACCAGCAGGAGCGGCGGGAGCTGCGGCTCCCCCTGTGGAGCCCAGTACTGGACGGTGCAGGTTGCACCGGCGCCGCCGTCGGGGTACGGGAGCGTGACGGCGTTCTGGCGGAGGCCGGCGCCGAGGCACTCGCGGCGGGCGAAGTAGTCGAGCACCGGCACGAGGCTCAGGCTGCCCCCCATGGCTCTGGCTCTGGTTGGTGGCACTGAACTACCTTCTGTTGGCAGCCAGAGTGTGTGCAAGTGCAAGTAGCAAGAGAGCGGGAGGCGATGGTCACAGCTTAAAGAGAACAGGTTGGTGGCGGCGGAAATGGAGGATTCACAGGCGATGCCATTGCAGATTTGCAAGGGAAAGGTGGTTGAGTGGACCAAACATTTTTTGCCGAGCTTGAAAATGAAATGAAATCGTAAAGGACGGAACAGCTTATATATTGGGAAGGGGGGCTTTGGTGGGGGGCGGTGATGATGTTGACAGAGTTAAGGGGGACCGTCCGATGGTGGGGCCTATGCAGGCGATTTCTTACACGTGGCCATCGCAGATACGTCGAACACAGAGTGTGGGCGTTCAGTTAACCGAAACTAATCGGTTCGTTAATTCGGTTACTTGAGAAGAAGGACCGATCGATAAAATGCGGAAATAAATTTGGGTTTCGGAGAATTCGGTTCGTTTCGGTGGAACCGTTTTTCTAGGAACAAGAAACAACACATTCAATTGTAAATTTGGCTGAATTTTTGTTTTAAAACAACAATGCAAAGATAAAACAATAGTACAAATGCAAGCATAGAGCAATATTCAAGCTGCGATAAAAAAAAAACAAACGGCCAATTTGGTTAATCAGCATTACAGATGAACCTAGAGTGGCGGCCACGGGATTACAGATGAGAGTTTCTTTCTGTACTCCCCTTTGTTTAAACTTCTTTTTCTTTTCTTTGCTGAAAGAGATGCGTGTTCACCCAAAGAATGATGTTATGTAAAGGGAGGACAATAAGATACGGATACGGCAGCCACAATTGGACTGAGCATTAGGCTGCTACATGCTGCACAGGTGGGCTGTCAGCGACTAGTGCTCCATCAGCACAGCATCACAAGAATTCTGGAATGTGAATGGAACCTTGTGAAAAGGGCAGTCAGGCTGTGTTTATTTTTGCCTACTAAACTTTAGCCCCTGCCACGTCGGATGTTTGACACATGCATAATCTATTAAATATAGATTAATTATGAAACAAAATGCATAGATTGAGACTAATTTGTGAGACGGATTTTTTAAGTCTAATTAGTCCATGATTTGATAATGTGATACTACAATAAACATGTGCTAATGACGGATTGATTATGTTTAATAAATTCGTCTTACGGATTACTGAGAAATCATATAATTTATTTTATTATTATTATCCGTCTTGGGGCTGAGCCAGAAGAAAGAACAGAGACAGACTGTGCGCATCACGGGTCACGGTACCAGACAGAGACAGCTCTCTGAATTTTAGCTCCACAAGTTCATTTTTCCAGACATTATTGTACAAAACATTATTGTACATGCATACCACCAAACAAGTTCCGAGCGACGCTTCTGTACTCCCAACGCTGCATGATTGTGGCTGTGGGGCGTCTGTCTGCATGCAGATCATTGCCGCTCCGCTGCTTTAATTTTAATTACATCACAGTTGGCGTCGCTTCGTTGCGACTAGCAATGCAACCACCACCTGCGACTGCGAGCAGGCCTTTGTTTGCTTCTGGGCCTCGACAGGAATTCCAAGGCCGCTTCTTACTTCCGGCCCGCGCCCGGCCCAATTCGCTCGTCCAGGAGGAAGGACTTGATGAAGCGGTTGACGTGGTCGGCGCCCACCAGCTGCAGCACGTACCCTGCGTCCCTGACGATCTCTATCCTGGATCTCTCCCCCAGGAGAATGCATCCACGCCAACGCATGGCAGTGCTCTGAACAATCTGAAGCAAAGTGGCGTACTAGATCGGATTCGAGAGAGGGTTTTGGGTGTTAGTGTTGATCTCTCCGGTTCGGCCCAATGGTTGAGTTGGGCCTTGACCTCGCGTTCTGGTGGGGCGTCCAATCCTACATGGTTGGTGGCCTCCCGTCGCACTGCGCTATAAAGAGAGGTGGGGCCGGCGGCTCTCAGTACGAGGTTCACCATGAGCCGCCACATCCACTAACAAACCCAATCCGATCTAGTGAGGGGCGCAACCAGCGACGGGAAGCCACCACTGCACTACGACTGATCTCAACACCGTCGCCGCGACACCGCCGACCCGGACCGCATCACCTTCGCCATAGCTACGTCGAGCTCTTCCTCTAAGCCCGCGGATGGTCGGTGACATCTCACCTCCCTTCCTCTCTCTCTAGATCATGTTTTAGAAAGTTTTTATTCCGTATGTAAGGTTGTACCCGCTAGATCTATATCTAGATGATCCATTGTGTCTATCGTTGGGCAATGCAGTGTTGTGCGCTTTCACTTACCTGTGCAGCCTGTGGCCAAGATCGATGGGGAACACCTGGTCCTTGTCTCCCCAGACGATCAGCGTTTCCTGGAGGAGCGGAAGCTGAAAATTGTCAGTATTTTTATTTTGAGTGTTTTCTGTGAGGCTGTGAATAGTTCATGAAATTTGGGAATTTAGCCACTGTAGCACTTTCGTTTTTATTTGACAATTAGTGTTCAATCATGGACTAATTAGGCTCAAAACGTTTGTCTCGCGATTTCCAACCAAACTGTACAATTAGTTTTTTTTCGTCTACATTTAATGCCCCATGAACGTATCGCAAAATTCGATGTGATAGCTACTGCAACACTTTTTGGAAAACTTTTTGGGAACTAAACACAGTCTGAGCTCATGTGGTAACTACTGCGATGACGTAGTTACTAGTACTACCTGGGTAAGAACCGGGAGGTGGTCCAAGCCACTTCCAGACCCGTTCGGCTGGTATGAAAAATGCATTGTTCAAACTGAAAAACATTGTTCCGCTAAAATGTTACGAGAAAAAATATTGTTCCGGTTGAAAAAAAAACAACACACCGGCTTCTTTGTCAGCCGAGCAATTCGTGCAGCAACTCTGCCCTCTCCCTTTCTTGATCCACGTACATGAGCTGCAGAAGAGGGGAAAAACCGTGGAAAATGTGTTTGTTGTATTGTACTCCTACTAGTAGAAATAAGTATAACGAACGATCTGGCACTGGCAGGGACAGAACGCCACAAAACTGACAAGCTAGTTTGGACGATAACAAACCAAATTGCCCCCCTGGCAGACAGACTGACAGGTCCGCTGGCGGAGATGGACACCACACTTGTTTCACGGCAGTCGGCACAGCATAGCATTGATCCCATCGGGAAGATTTTCGGGTCTATCCACTTTCCACTGCCACGGCCCACGGGTAGCACGTTCCACGTGCGCACTGGGCCATAGCGTGCCGCATCCTAATCCTTGCTGCGATTACGTGCTCGGAAATCCTTGGACGCGGACGAACGGCAGCCGGCAGGCGCCGCTCGTCGTACCCAGCGCGAAAACGAGACGGGAGCGGGACGGAAACCGCACCGCACCGCACCGCACCGAAGAGAAACAAGCAGTCAAGCACAGCCCCAGAAGGCCAGAACGGCCAGGAGCAGAAGGGCAACCGCAACGAACGAAGGGACAGAGTGCAGGTGGATGGATGCGAGCCACAAGCCATCGCCCGCCATGTCGCCCACTCGCGCGTACTCCCGACTACGGACGTGATGCGGACCTGCTACTGCAGCTAGCCTTGGGGCCTCCGCCCTTCGGCCTTGGCAAGTTGGCATTGGCTCGTTGGCTCCGTCCGTCCGTCGCTTGGAACGCACTGTGCATCTCTATCTTTCTCTAAAAGACGAACCAGGGCTCCTGTGCCTTCTACCAGGACTCCTCTACTTCCTATCGCTCGCGTCGAACGCCATCGGCACCGCTTTGCGCTCGACGCAGCTACTGACCGACGCCCCCAGGCATCTGCCGCTACCGCCACGGGCTTAAGTTTTTCCTCAACCGAAGCCACCCTCCCCGCAGCCGTGGCCGTCGCCGCTTCCCTCCTCGCAGCCGTGACCGTGAACAGGAGCGTGCAGAACTCTAATCTCCCCGCACCGGCGACACCCAAGCCGAAGGGGATGGCGGGCACGACATTCTGGCCACCTGCAACGACCTTCGCCGCATCGGCAGCACCCACCACCGACCAGACGCTGGACTCGACGTGGGCATGGATGGCGTACAGGAGGTGTTCGATGGAATGCCCATGAGGTAAACAAAGCGTGCTTGCTTGTATGGCCGTGCTTGCTAGCTTGACTGTTTCATACATGCATGCTGTAATCTCGTAGTGTGGCCAAGCTCAAGATGATTGATGGTACGTATTCTACATACGGTGACAGTGACCCGATGCAGACTTCCGCGAGCAGATATGCAGATTTGTCTTGGCAGCGAGCAAATGCGGACGTGCTGCTGCTCGATAAGAAATAAGATTTTGCAGCAAAAGTCCATTGTCTTCAGCATTAAGCTGCTGGTTTGCTCCTTTGATTAGTTGATTCTATCTGCATCCTTGTATTGTTTCAAAAAATTTCCTAAATCTAATGTCCTGCTCTTGCACTTCCCATCTGCCTCCATTAGCTACATAGCATTTAACATTTCTAGCTTTCATCAAGGGTCAAATATTGTGCACTTAGCAGGTAATATTGGACCAAAAAGAAACGTAGACTGATGGTACTCGCCTTGTGCAAGCTTTTTTTTTTGGATCGATAGAGCTCAAGATCACAAATATTTTGTTGGCATTTTCAAGCATCAAAAAACAAATAAATTTAGATGGAACATCTGGACTTGCCCCAACTCTTGTAGGCCAAATTCAAATGTGTGGAAGAGATTATGTTGTATGCTGACTACCTTCAACTTAATATGGCATTGACATCTACGGTGGATTAGATTTTTGAATGTCCTCAAATCAATGTGCATAAAAACCATTTGAACCAAGGAGTGTGCAAGGGCAAGTGTTCTAAGGAAGAAACAACAAGCATATTTCTTTGTCTCGGTCTAAGGTATAAACAGAGGCAATCTTTAAGCTGTCAGACCATGTGTGAGTGAACCAAGTTTAATCTCTACTGGAAAGGATATGAGTGGAGGTGTTGGTTCCATTCCAATTTGGTATTTCCTCTGATAAATCACTATTCTGTAATCAAACCCCAATGTGTTTTCCTTTCCGTCGACTATTTATGACATTACTTTGAGATGGCCCTATAGGATGTCGGCTACAAGTTCCATCGAATCTACTCCCATCCGATCCATTTATCACGTCAGAAATCCATTTTGAAGATGTTAGCTCAATCAAGAATCAGTCGTTTCCAATCTTTTGTAGCATATACCCAAGTGGGTATTGATCTCAAGTTCTCAACATTGTAATCAAATTTGAAGCACGGGCCCCTCTTAACAAGAAGGTATCATGTTACACATTACATTTTTATTTACTTTGGTAAATATCACTGCCTTGGTTAATGCTTAAACACCAGGATCATTGCACCATCGTTTTTTTCCTAAGATAAGGTAGCTTTTTATTCAATAAATATACTTCAACTGAGAATTTGGTATGATTTATATTATAGAGATTCATGTAAGCTTGTCGCAGAGAGAGAGAGAGAGAGAGAGAGAGAGAGAGAGAGAGAGAGATTCATGTAAGCTATCAACCTTATGTATACGCTATTTCTTTTGTTCTAATAAATCGCTCAAACTTATGATGACGAGTTACCTCACTTAACAATGGTAATTAACAGTTCTTGTTCCTTGGTAAATCTCATTGCGTACACATCAGTGACAAGTTCATAAATAAAAAAAACATTTATGCAGTGAATTGTAGAATACCTCACTCCAGAAATTACTCCATGTTTTTTCTCCTACCGATACAGGGTCAAAATTAACATCAGTGAGCATTGTGGACAGCTAGAGACGTCCAGAGGCTGGTTTAGTCCAGCAGGGGCGCAAGCTTTTGGGGCGCAGCAAAGCTGCGTCTGTTTTCTAGTCTATCAACGGATTTTAGACCCATTGACCTCGCCGATGAGACAAGGACAATCCCAGCCACTATGAGTGTGTTTGGTTGGGTGGTCAACCCTAGCCTGACTCCTTAAAGTTAATTTTGGTTTGTTTGGTTGTCTTGAAGTGGGTTGCGGCCTAGCTAGGGCTGGCCAACCGTACCCCTTGCCTGGCCAAGATTGAACACCCGAATCGGTTGTTCAACTGGAGCAAGGCCTAAGCTAGCATTTCTTCTCGGTTCATGTCACCTCCGTGCAGTGCGAGCGCTCCTCGCCTCCACACTCGCGCACTGCCGCTCCTCCTCGGTGCCGCCGCTCCTCCCGCCATGGACGCCAGCTCGGCCGAGCAGACCTCACCCCGGCCCCCTCCTCACCGCCATCCCCGCCTGCCATGGACGCCAGCTTGGCCCCGTCGCTCCTCCACGCCTCCCATCTCCGCGACCAACTCGAGGAGGCCGACGGCTGTGCTGCGGCCACCACTCCGGCCATGACCGCGCCCGCCCCCGGCTCAGCCTCACACTCCCTCCTCCCCTGCTCCCTCTACTGATGGCGGCCCAGCTCCCCATCCCCGACTCTACACGGACACGCCCGCCGCCGGTGCTAGGTCTAGGAACAACGGCGCGCGGTCGAGGTCTAGGGCCACGGCGCCAGGCGCCTCACCGTCGTCGCGGAGGAAGACAATGCACACGATTGTTTATTTGTTCCTCTTTTTTCCTCTCGTTTCGGCGGCGATTTTTTCCTTTTGATTTGATATTATAGGTAGTGGAGGATTTTGTGGTGGTGATGCTGCAAGCCATGGGAGCGGGGATGAAGCAGAGGGTCGCCGTCGGTCGCCGTCAAGATGAACAAGGTGAAGGAGGTAAGGTCACCATTGTAGAGAAGAGATAGTAGCAGCAACTAATCCAGGCAACCAAACAAAAACTAACTTAGCCAGACTTAACTCACACGTGACAACCAAACACTTCTAGTGTGTCTTAAATTGGATAGGCTAACTCAAGCCTAGCTTATTTTTTCTAGCCAGAATATAGACCCACGCAACCTGACACATCCTATCTGTTCCGTCCTGCCCAGCTGTTCGTGTCCGCTGCTCGATCTGCACGCAACTTGACGCGCAGTGTCGCGTACGCTGCCATGTGCCCTCGGCGCCCGGCTGCCCGCTTGCATTACGCTGCGGCATGCCCGACTGGCGGCGCGGCTCCTACTTCCCTCAACGTGGCAGTCGAGTCATCAAAGTGTTTTTGATCTGAGAATCTTTGCAAAGTTCTTTTTACTAGGGGTGGCTCCACGTAATGGGCTAGCGACCAAAGGAATCGACAAGATCGGCGGCATCCGTGACACGCGGCACCAGATCTACTGGACCTCCCCACTCTCTGGAATAGGAGTAGGAGTACGTGTTTTTTCTTGTACTTATATTTCTCGCTTTCTAAGGATTCTTTTTTTTTCAACTCGCTTTCTAAGGATTCAATCGATAGCAAGTTTAGCCTTTCTAATAAATCAATCAATTTCAAAATTATTAGATAAAAATATATAAAGATACTAATAACATTTATAATACTTAGTATTATTATCTCTTCTCTGTCACTATCCCAATCCATATCTTCTTCTTCTATTCTATATCTCTCTTATATTATATTATATTATATTATATTATATTATATTATATTACACCTAAAAAGACTCTAAAGTCATCATCTACAAGGGATATCAAATATTGATTCCTACTTACGTGTCCGCGTCGGATATGAATCATACTCTACTCAGAGCTTACACGTCCACGTTCTACCAGTTCCGGTACGAAGACCGGAACCACGTGTCCACATCCGATACGAAATCCTTGGAGCTCACGCATCCGCGCCGATTACTAAGATTAAATTCAAAAAATTATGACCCGGTTGCAACGCACATGCATATCTATATCTATGTCTATATCTATTACATTGAAAAAGACTGTAATGTCATCATCTACCCGGTGATACCAAATATCGATCTCTGGTCACGCTTCCGCGTCTATACGAACCATCCTATACTCGGAGTTCACGCGCCGGCGTTCTTCTCGTTTCGATACAAAGATCGAATCCGTGTCTGCGTCCGATACAAAGTTCCCAGAGCTCACACGTCCACGTCCAATTAATTATTGATGTTTAGTCCAAAAATTATGACCCTAGTGCAACACACGGCTATATATCTAGTTACTAAAGTATGAAATATACATTTTATAACATAAAGAGGTTAATATTATCTTTTTATAAAGTTGGTTAAAATCAAAATTAATCCACTTCTTAGAAAATGAGAAGCACGCTCCTTTTTAGAGTGCGGGAGACAATAAACCATATGCGCGGTTGACATGATGACATGACATGGCGGATCAAAAGTTCAAAACCAAATCAAAGTTGCAGAACGCTGGTGCCCTGGTGCGCCGTGCGTGCATGTCTACCTCAGCCTCGGTGCACACACGAGCTCTCGAGAGTCGGGAGGAAGAAGAAAGAAAACCAATGCACCCGGCCGAAGGACACCCCTACCAGACGCAAGCACACGGGCAAGGCGCAATAGCAATTTCAAAACGATAGGATGTCTCGTAACAAATGCAGAAATTTGGTAGTAGCTCCGAAATTTGATTGGTTGCCAGTCTTTTGTCATCGAGTTATGCATACTGCTCCCTTTAATTAGTGCAGTCACAATACAGAAACTAGAATAATTTATATATTTATTATGATTAGTGCATTACTCTCTAAGTAAAATAATGATGTGACATTAAAATTAAGGAGGACTGAAGAAAAAATGGTTTCTTAAACATGTTTTTTTGTAAAAATAATTTGATCACTATGAATTTTTTGTAGCATTTTGTGTTATTTTTTTTAAAAAAGCTTTCTTATAAGATTGAACTCTCATAGTCATATTTTCATGGGATGAGACATGTTTCGTGCAAGAGAGTTCAAGAGATTACGAAATCCAAATGCATGAATATACAATTATAAGCGTGTAGACATGCTTGATGTTTCACTACCACTACTGAGCTTTATCGTACGCCGTACCGTACGATAAACAAGTCAGGCAGTCTAAAATAGCCGTATAGAAAGCGAGAAAGCGATCGAGAAAAAAAACTTATAACGAAAGAAAAAACACCGAACGAGATGGAGTGCTAACCTGGATGAAGTCCTCAAGCACGAAGCCCGGCATCCACGGCGGGGGGCGATGCATGGAGCGTCGCACGAGGAAGCGCAGCCCCTCGGCGGTGTCCGGCGGCAGCGCCTCGTCGACGGTGCGGTCCTCCCTTGCCGCCATCGCCCGCATCTCCCCGGGCGTGGCCGCGACGCCGGTGGTCATGATGACGAGCCTGCCCACGGCGTCGCTGGCCTCGGCGATGGCCATCCGGTAGGCGACGAAGCCGCCGTAGCTGATCCCCGCGACGTCGTAGCGGGGCACGGCGAGGAGGCGCATGGCCTCGGCGGCGCAGCGGGCCTGGAACGCCACGGAGCGGAGCGGCGACGCGGACCGGGACTGCGCGCCGAAGAAGACGAGGTCCGGCGCGTACACGTGGAAGTGGCGGGACAGGCGCGGGAGGTTGCGCGCCCACGTCCACTTGGCGTCCCCGCCGAAGCCGCGGAGGAGGAGCGGCGGCGGCTTGGAGGACGGGGTGGCGGGGCACCAGACGCGCAGCGTGGTGGCGCCGCCGCCGTCGTGGAGGCGGAGGAGGACGGGGCGGAGGCGGAGGCGGAGGCGCGCCAGGAGGTGGAGCGACAGCGCGGCGTCGCGGATGCGGCTGCTGCTTCATGTTCATGGTCGCCGCCAGCACGGTGGCACTGGCACTGCCCGCCGTCGCGCGCATGGACGGGATGGGGATGCGCATTGAGGTCGAGGGCACTGACGGAAGGGAAAGTACAATAAAACGATGCCTTCCCTCCCAGATCGGTGGGGTTGGAGCAGGCAGCAATGGCGCAACATGTGTACTGTATATAAATAGACTGCCATGCGCCCATGCCCTGCCGCTGCCGGCCTACGCCGTTTTTCCGGGCAAGTCAGCATGCTTCACCATTTTGGCGGGCAAATGAATTAATACCCGATTTTTCAAAAATGATGAATTAGTGCCTGTTTGGTTCCTTAGACCCAATTTTAGTTCTCGTCTCCTCAGATGTTTGGAAACATGCGTGGAGTATTAAATATAGACTAAAAAAATAACTAATTACACAGATTGCGACTAATTTGTGAGACGATTTTTTAAGCCTAATTAGTCTATGATTTGATAATGTGGTGCTACAGTAAATATGTGCTAATGACGGATTAATTAGGCTTAATAAATTAGTCTCGTAAATTAGTCTCAATCTGTGTAATTAGTTTTATAATTAACTCATATTTAGTCCTCCTAATTAGCATCCGAACGTCCGATGTGACATGGACTAAAATTTAGTCCGTGAAACCAAATACCCCCTTAATACCCCCATTCAATTACATGGACAGTTTGGAATTTGGTGGATTGGAGGATGCAGGTGAAAGTCTGAATGATGATGGGAGAAAGCAACCGGCCGATCTGATAATTATAATTTAGATATAGATTAATTAAGCTAATATAGTTATATATGAAATATATTTATATATTTATTGTTAGGCATATAAGGTACATACTTATAGGTTTGTATTTCTATCGTAGCGGAGTGAGTTGAAGAGTGTGCTATAAGTTAGAGAATAGAATTATAGCTTAATGATCTATATAATCCATTTTTATCTCCCGCCCTATGAATCTGAGATAGTTTTATTTATGAGTTTAGAAAAGTTATGAAAAGCCAAATTTTAAGTAAAATAGTCTAATCTATTATATAGATTTTAATTTCTCTAAAATAAAAGAATCTAAACGACGACCTAATAGTAAATGGACAGCTGGGCCGTGATGGACAAAGTGACAAGTTTTATCAGGTATAAATCACAATTTTTTTGCTTGCATATACACCACTCATCAGGATAGATAGTGACGCTTGAATTTGCACAGCCGCTTCCGTGAACAACGCGCTAGGCTCTACGGCCTTAGCGAATTTGAGACGATCACGACGTGTCTGTGCCAACCGAATTGGGGGAAGAAGGAAGAAAGATCCGATGCGCATCTTGAACGGAAAACATCGGTGTGTGCAGTGCAGTGAACACAGGCGGCGGCTGTACCGTCGGGACAAACCACGTCACTGCAGGCGCATAGGTGTGTGCAGTGCGCTCGCGCTTCACTCTAAACCAGTCGCTTGTCACTCCTTGTACACACATTTCCTGCATTTTGAGCACTGTGAGCAACGTTTTTCTCGATTTTACCTTTCCAAAAAAAGGTTCTCATATAAATTGAAAAAATCTACGAGAGACAAAAGTCGGTGCAGTGCAGTGACAAAAATATACTGTATGTGCGTCGGAGACCGGGGAGAGTTCATGGACGAGATAGAGATGCGATCCGAGGGCATCGACGGAAATTGCAAGAGGACAATGGAGCCTCTTTCACAGTTTCATAGATCATCAGCGTACTAATGATCTGGAGATGAACTGTAATAGCTTACGGTTGGATGCGGTGCCGCCAACCATACGAGGGAGGACAATCAGTAAACGAGATCGGTGATAAGAGCGAATAGCTACAAATCCGTAACTTCAAGAAAGGACGAAGCAGAGAAGACGATGAATCGCATATTGCTCTCTGTCTCAATATTGCAAATAGAAATAGCGATCCACGGTTGGGCCAACTGAACTGAAAAGATCTGATGCGCATCTCAGTTGGCAAAACACCGGTATCTCCTGAAACAGGCGGCCTATAGCAATGCCACTCTATATTGATCGGGATCCGTCACGTGGTCGTGCGGCTGCTTGGTCCTTTGCAAACTGTAATGAGGATGATGTTGTGGCGGTATCCGTTGCCTATCTAAACCACTTACTTGTCACTCCTTGCGAACACATCGTAAGCATATACACCGTCCTAAAAAGAATGCGTTCTAATTTTAAACCCCTTCATTCATGGGTTAAACGGATTTAAAGCTAGAAATCATATTTTTTTAGAACGGAGGACTTACCCCATAAGAAACGTGTTTTCTCGGTTTTATATTTAAAAATATGTGAGAAACAAAAGGTAGTGCTGTGAAACATTTTGTAAGAATGAGAAACACGATGATGAGTTGACGACCACCAACCAGACAACCGCCAAGGCGGCCACAGCAACTGTCCAGCCTAGAGCGAGAATTGTCTGAGCTCTGGAAGCCTTTCAAAAAACGAAAAAAAACCCCCGAAACGAATCGTCTGAAGCATATATTACTTCAATGCAAATCCTAAATCGACAAAGGCTCGCTTCTCGCCTGCTAGTGCCAGGGCCCGTTTGGATGTCTTGCCTCGTACTGTGTCACCTTACACGGCTAGAAGCTGACAACTGCTATTTGTTTGGTTGTTGAACTAGGCCGTCTCGATTTCGGCTCTAGCAAGATTGTGTAATTTATTTCGTGCCTGTTTGGATGTCTTTGCCTCGTACCGTGTCACCCTACCCAGCTTGAAGTTGAACTGTGCTGTTTGTTTGGTTGTTTAACTGGGCTTCCTTGATTTCTGCCTTGCGTTATGTATTTCCTTTCTGCCATGGTGAGCCAAATTGGCTCGCTTGAGCTGGCAAGATTTTCCTCGCCGAGTTAGGCAAGACAGGTAAGCTTGCTAGAGAACCAAGCATGCCCTTCCTTGCTGCCGTGGGCGAGCCAAATTGGCTCGCCTGAGCTGACAATATTTTACTCGTCGGGTAAGGGGGTGTTTGGATCTAGTGACTAAAATTTAAAAGATGTCGCATATGATGTTGATATTAATAAAAAAATAAATTATAGAATCCGTCAGTAATCCGCGAGACGAATTTATTAAGTCTAATTAATCCATCATTAGCATATGTTTACTGTAGCACCATATTATCAAATCATGGATTAATTAGGTTTAAAAATTTCGTCTCGCAAAACAATCTTAATCTGTGTATTTAGTTTTATAATTAATCTATATTTAATACTCGGTGCATATGTCACACCGACTAATTTTTTTTAGGTGAATCCGGACACCCCGTGAGGCAAGGCCGGTAAGCTTGGGTCTTGTTTAGTTGGCGAATTTTTTTGAGAAATGATACTGTAGTGCTTTCGTTATTATTTGGTAATTAGTGTCCAATCATAATCTAATTAGGCTTAAAAGATTCGTCTCGTGAATTTTGTCTAAACTGTGTAATTAGTTTTATTTTTTATTTATATTTAATGTTTCATGCATGCGTCCAAAGATTTGATATGATGGGGAATCTTGAAAAATTTTGCAAAATTTTGGGAACTAATGGCCTATTCGCTTGTCTGAATTCTGAAGAAATCTGAATGATTTAAGAGAATACGGAAAAAATTTATGAGAGAAAAACACAGTTCCAGATAAAAAAATAAACGGATCAAGCCGAGTTTGTGCCAACGGTGCCTAAACAGGCACTTGCTAGAGAAACAAGCAGGCCCTAGTCGCCCTTTTCCACTCCACTCCGTTTCCTGGAGGCGTAAACCCTTCTTCTCCCCACGCCCTCACCCGCCGCCGCCGCCGCTTGCCGGGGTGCTATAGCCATGTCACCCGCGGCTGCCTCTGCTTCACCCGGCGACCGCATCCGAACCTACGAAGACTTCGCGCGGGTGCACGCGTACCTGCTGGCCGCGGCGGGCATCCCACCGTCGCTGCACCAGAGGCTGTACCGTAAGCTCGCGGACGAGGTGTTCGACGGCGGGGAGGTCTTTGCCGTCGAGCCGTGCGAGGAAGGGAGGCAGCGGCGCCTCGTGCTCGCCGCCGATGAGTCTCTGGGAAAGGAGTCCGATGTCTTCCTCGTCGACCACGCGTGGTCCTTCCGCCTCCCTGATGCGCTCAAGCAGGTAAGTGGCAGTGGCGTGTGCGCGTGGTGATTGGAGTGGGTCAGCTAGTCTGTCGAGGAGCGAAGTGTTTGGGGTCAGTATGGCTTGTACGTGTTTTTGACGCGTGCCTGTATAATTACTACTCCGAATTTGAAGATTGCAATGAATCCATTCAGTTTAATCATCCGCTTCTTCCAGTGGAATCAATAGTCATTTAGTACGTTCCATTTCATTTTTTGGCTAATTGGAACGATTAGGAATTCTATGTGCTGAAGTGCGGATAATTGGTCATTCTATATTGTAATTAGTACAATCCATTAAGTGGCGGGTAGAATTTCAGATACCTAAAGCTGTTCTAGCTAACACGGACATAATTATCATCACACTACTTGTTTAACCATAATACAACAATCAGTGCCTTCTTCAACTCCTCTGTTATTATCTATGCATGGTCAGCGGTCAGCAAGGAAGAATTGTCAGTGTCCACTTACAGGATTTTGTCATGTTATTACGGTTGATCTTATGCATGCGTTTTGGTAATTTTGCAGTTGCAGGAAGTACCAGGATTGGCTGAAAGGATGGCAGCATTGATGTGTGTGGATTTGGACCGCAGGATTGAAACTGAAGAGGCAGATGAGCAGGATAGTGACAAGAGTGGGAGCTTGGAGCATGTATTGCAAGTAGTCGAGAAAGAAAGGGCTAGAGTTCAGGAAAGGGGAAGTGATTCTGCAGCATGGCTGGAACTTGAAGAACTTGGAATTGATGATGACATGCTAGTAGCCTTGGATCTATCTGCAAAATTTCCGGTCTGATTCTCTTTTTCTAGAAAAAAGAACAGTCTGATTCTTTCCAATGTACAAGTTCTCAATTTTGCTCATTTGTAATATACAGTCGGGAAAAATGGTTATGTGCTTGTTCTCACGTTCCCCATGAAAATAAAAGATTTCACTTGTGAATTTTAGCATTTTGTCTAATACTTAATGTTACTAGTGGTGGATTCAATAAAGTATTTTTTATAACGTTTTATGCTAGTTGTCAGAACTCAGAACTGTTTTTTGACACTTTGTCCTTGGTCTTCAATTTATCTTAACTATTCCCTTTTGTATCTGACTAGAATCTGGTAGCTCTGAACCTATGGGGAAACAAGCTGCAGGATCCAGAGAAAGTTATGCAAGAAATCAGGAAGTGT